TTGACTTTTCATCAGCAAACATTACATATTCATGGATTAACAGCCCTAATATTGTTTAATTGTCAATACTAGCTAAGAGTATCTACAAATTCAATACAGTATCTAACAAAGTCTCAACAACATTTTTCTTTTTTCTTTTTTGTAGAAATTGAACAATCCATCCCAAAGTTCATATGGGATCTCAGGAAACTCAAATAGCTATAAGCAAAACCTTGAATAAGAACAAAGTTGGTAGATTCACATTTGCTGGTTTCAAAATTTATTACAAAACTACAATAATCAAAACAGTATGACTCTGGCATAAGGACAGACATATAGAAAAATGGAATAAAATGGAGAGCCCAGAAATAAACCTTCTTTTATCTGTTTAATTGATTTTTTTTACAAGGATACCAAGATCATCCAAAATGAGAAATGACAGTATTTTAAACAAATGATGTTAGGAAAACAGAATGTCTACATGCCAAAGAATGCAGTTAGATTCTTGCTTTATACCTACATGGTATATACAAAAGTTAATTCAAAATGAATCAGAGACCTAAAAGTAAAGGCTAAAACTAATAAACTTATAAGAAAACATAGAGGAAAAGCTTCACGATATTGGATTATGTAATGGTTTTTAGATATGACACCAAAAACACAGGCAACAAAAGAAAAACAGCAGATAAATCAAACTTCATCAAAAGTAAAAACTTTTGTGCAAAAGATACCATAAAAAATGAAAAGATAACCTACAGAATGAAAGAACAGTTGCAAATCATATATCTGGTGAGAAACGGATATCCAGAATGCATAAGAACTCCTACAATTCAACAACCAAAACCAAACAACCCAATTACAAAATGGGTAATGGACTTAAATATACATTTCTACAAAGAATGTATATAAACAGACATTAAGCACATAAAAAGATTCTCAACATCACTAGACACTAGGGAAATGTAATCCAAAACCACAGCAATGGCTATTATCAAAACCAAAACAAAATAAAACAAACAAAAAAAACTTGGAAAGTAATATCTCAGAGAGAATGTAGAGAAACCAAAACTCTTGTACACTGCTTGTGTGAATATAAAATAGTGCAGCCACTGTGGGAAATAGTATAGCATAGTTAACATAGTTAAACACAGAATCAAAAGCATAGAATGATTCAGTAATTCCACTCCTAGTTATATGCCTCAAAGAAGTGAAAACAGGGACTCAAACAGATACGTGTACACAAATATTTGCAGCACTATTCACAATAGCTCCAAAATGGAAACAATCCAAGTGCTTCAGTTCAGTTCAGTTCAATTCAGTCACTCAGTTGTGTCCGACTCTTTGCGACCCCATGAACCGCAGCATGCCAGGCCTCCCTGTCTATCATCAACTCCCAGAGTTCACCCAAACCCGTGTCCATTGAGACAGTGATGCCATCCAACTATCGCATCCTCTGTCGTCCCCTTCTCCTCTTGCCCTCAATCTTTCCCAGCATCAGGGTCTTTTCAAATGAGTCAGCCCTGCACATCAGGTTGCCAAAGTATTGGAGTTTCAGCTTCAACATCAGTCCTACCAATGAACACGCAGGACTGATCTCCTTTAGGATGGACTGGTTGGATCTCCTTGTAGTCCAAGGGACTCTCAAGAGTCTTCTCCAACACCACAGTTCAAAAGCATCAATTCTTCGGCACTCAGTTTTCTTTATAGTCCAAGTCTCACATCCACACATGACCACTGGAAAAACCATAGCCTTGACTAGATGGACCTTTGTTGACAAAGTAATGTCTCTGCTTTTCAATATGTTGTCTAGAGTGCTTATCAACAGTTAAAAGGATAAAGGAAATGTGGTATCTACATTAAATGGAATATTATTCAGCCATAAAAAGAATGAAAATTTGATATACGCTGCACATGGATGAACTTTGAAAAGCATTTTGCTAAGTGAAATAAGCCAGACACATAAGGCCAACTAGTGTATGATTCCACTTGTATGAGGTACCTAGATTAGGTAAATTCACAGATACAGAGAACAGGATAGAGGTTACCACAGTTGGGAGAGATGAATGGGAATTACTGTTTATTAGGTACAGGTTTCAATGTTCTCTGCTGACCAAAGCACGTAAACCATATTACAGCCTTTCCTGAACACCCTTCTAGAACAACCCCTCCCTCAGCATTTCTCATCCTCTTGTCCTAATTTTCCTTTTGGTGTTTATCCCCATCTAATACGCTATTTCCTCTTTATTTCTTGCCTCCTAAAATGAAAGCTCTAAGAGGACAAAGGCTTTTCAAGTTTTGTTTGCTGCCTTATCCCCACTGCCCAAAACAGTGACTAGGGTACTGAAGTTTTCCAGTAATCATTTCAGTGAGTGGATGAACAAGGGAAAGAGGGGATGAATAAGACTGCTCACCAAAGGATGAAAGATCCAGAGAACCTGGGAAGTGTCTGAGGAGGTGTCGACCTGCACCCCACTTCCCTACAAAGGGCACATGGGAGAGAGTGAGCCAGGGAGTCAGGGCTGGATCAGGGGCCCCTGCAGTGCAGGAGAGTTCCCAGGGTGTGTGACTCTGCCTTTCTAGGCAGTGTATTTTATGCTCATCCTCCACAACTTCATCTGACACATGCTAGGAAAACTATATAAACTCCCATTCATCCTTATCGCAACCTGGTGAGGTAGGTATGAAGATCCCATTGTACAGATAGGGATGCTGAGGCAGAGAGAGGAGGCGATTTGCCCAAGCCGCATGCAGTCAGTGGAATCTGCCTGACTGCAAAACTGGGGCTGCCTCCTCAGTGGTCATTATTCCCTTCTCCTCAAGAGTATCAGGAAGCATCCACAGGAGGAAGCCTGTTCTCATACTCTGGGAAAATCTTGTCAAGCTTATTTTCTTCAGCTAGAATGAGTGAGAACAATTTCCAAGGAGTGGTGTCCTTCCCCTGGGGCTGAAGGAGTATGCTGTGCTTTCAGAGAAGCCTGCCTAGGCCTCCATGGCCAAGCTGTAAGCTTACTCCTCCCTGATGGCCCAGCACTGAGAAGTGGGTACTAAGGGCCCTTTTTTGGACAGCCCCACATCCCCTTCCCATTTGCAAGATCCAGTAGGATTCAGTCCTGGCCAGCCTTAAAGGCAAGTGTTATGACTGATGGTAAAGGTGAGGGTCTGAAGAGCAGCTTAAATACTGGAGCCTGAGTGCTGATACAGGGGACTTAAGTTGCTCCCCTTTCTCTCCTGCCTTCCCAGCCTCTTGAGAAGACCCGTACCCTTCACACTGAATTAAGTAGCTACACCAGCTATGGTAAAAGGGACCTGTGCTGCCTCCAGCATTTAAGAAGCTAAAGGAGGCAAAAGGTAGGGGAGGAAGTGAGAGGGGTGGAAAGTGGGGACAACCTGGTTTAAGCAGCCATTTCTCTGGTGCTTCTTTTAGTCCCCCTAACTTACACCTTCCTTGGAAGAGAAGAAAGGGGAACATGCCCTCACTGCTTAATGCTTTGCAGCAAACTAACGTTGATTGACATTGAGTAAACCATTTAGTACTCTCAACCTGTTTCATAACCTTAAGATAGAGAAATAGAACATCGTCCCACAAGTTGTTGGGCGTTTTAGTGTTCAGCACATCTTGGAACCTGCTAAGGCCCAATTATTATTATTTCATGTGACCCATCTGTGTCCAGAGCCCTTCCCCATCCATCTTGGGGCTCTGTTGTGCCCACACTGGGCTTGACTGCAGAGAGCAGGGGTGTGGTCAGGGGCACTGAAACAGAATGGCAGCTGAGAGGACCATTTGGACTCACTGCCACTCTCTGCAAAGATGACCCAAAGAGGCTGTCATCCCCCTACAATGTCCAACCATCTCCAACCCCAAAGCCCCAAAGGGGAATTACTACCACACCCTGGGCAATCAGACAAGACATGCCCCAGGGTGTCTTAGCAGTCCCTCCACTGGACTGTGAGGAGGAAACATCTCTTTTCATCTCTGCTGTCTTTGCTTAGAAGCTGGTGAGCTGGGTCACCCATCCCCTCAATCATCAGTCTCCATGGAGAATAAGAAGAATCAGAGGAAGTACAACCTGGGATGCTGGAATGAGGGCAACACAAGAAGTCTGAGTCCTGTCACCCCCACCAGCCTCTGGGATACTTCACCCAATCTCTGGGAGCTTGCACCACTTTCCAGAAGGCTGAATATGTAAATACTTTTCCTGTTTTATATTCCAGGATTGCTTTGAGGATGACAGATGTACAGTAAAAGATTTTAGGGACCATAAAATGCTTTCCTTGGTACTAGGAGTCATACCATTATTAATACTAAATAAATAAAATTTATCCTCAGCCCCAAAGAGGAGATGAAAATGGAACCAAGGCAGTCTCTCCAGTCTGAGGATCCACCCTTTGATTTCCTTCCTTGAGGGTCAGAAGGTACTTAATGAGAGGCCCAGGTTTCCAAAGCACACATGCAGACAGACGAAACTGTTCAAAAAGTGCACACAAACTGTAATGTGGGTCTCTAAATTGCTCAAAGAAAGAAGCAAAACATTTAGAACCAGCAAAGCAAAGAGCTTCCTAAGCACTGACACTATGAGAATGCCTAACAGATGACACAGCAATCTCTCTGGGTCCCAGTAAAATAGAGGTTATTTGGTTAAAAACAAAACAAAAACACAAACACAACCCCAAACCCTAAGTGATCTGCCACATGCTGAGAAGACAGCTCTTAGTAATCACTTGTCCCTCCGGCTGTTTAAGGGCCATGAAGGTTACAGATCCAGGCCAAGCTGAGAGCCATCCAGAAGCCTATGGTGACCTTTTTAATGTCCCAAAGAAAAAGTCCCAGGAGACAAAGGCCTAGGGCATTCCTTCTGATTCAGGACAAGGAGGCCACAGAGGTCTGTTGCTTGGGTCTGATCAAGGCTACACTGCCCTTTCCCCTCAGAGAAGCTGGCATCCATTTAAGCCAAATCCTGCCCATACTGACATCCGAGACAGCACCACCCAGTGGCACTGGCAAGGGCAGGAGGGCCACTCACATGTCCAAGATGAAGTAGAGATCAAATGAGCTCTGGCAGGAATTCTTGTCTTCTCCTGACCGGCTCTTCCGGTGCCAGGTGCGGGGGCCCTGAAGGTGCTGGAAGCTTTTCGAGTTCTGGATGAGGTGGCGATAGAGCTTCCCCCAGTCCAAACCAAGGTGGTGGAGGTCTTTCCAGCCTGGACCACTGTGCTGGAAGCTCCCCAAGCTCAGCAGCGGAGGTGGCAGCACCAGTAGCAGGAAGAGCGTGGGCCCCGGCATGCCAGGCCTCCAGCTCTCCATTTATTTCGGCTGCCCCTGAGGCCTCACTGGATGCTGGCAACTCAAGGCCACCTCAGATGGCAGCCTCCGCCACCTCTCTGCGTTCCTAGGGCCTTTGGCCCCTCCAGCCCTTTCACAAAAGTGCCTCCTAGGGCCTTTGGTCCCTCCAGCCCTTTCACAAAAGTGCCAGCCTTGTCTGGTACCTGCCCTGAGGGCAAAGAGGTGAAGATGACTGGCTTTGGGGGATGGCCCTTCCCCCGCCCCAGGGGGCAGAATTCCCTGTGATGACCCTTATGAGGGACAGGAAGGTTGGCATGGTGACTTTGTGACCTGCAGCTCTGCTCAGCGTCCTGCCTGTGGACAATTCCAGGGGGGAGTCAGGGGATCTTTGGAGGGGCAGTAAGATAAGGCCTCCATTTGTCCCTTATCCTAAATCCTCTCTAGGAGCCATGAAAATCCTGGAGCTATCCTGCCTTGTCCTGAAAGAGGGCAGAGCAGAGGTGGCTTAGATAAAGACATCACAATCATGATGCCATCTAGGAACTGGGAATGTTACAGTGGTCATTCATGTGACCCAGCAGATGGAATGATACAGAAGGGAAATAAATTAAATTCCTGCAAAGATGTCAAACTCCCTTGTAAATAAGGGACATGCCAGTTGTCCATTTTGTATAAAAACCACCCCAAGCTGAATGACAAAACAAAAACTATTTTGTTATGCTCACAGTTATGTGGATCAGAAATTCAGAAAGGGCTGAGTGAGGATGGCTTGTCTCTGCTCCATGGAAAAACATGCAAAAACTGTAATGGAGTGGGGTTGGGTTCACAGCCGTTAGTGTGTGACCATTAGTATGAGATGGTTAGAATGAGACCCTTAGTCAGCTGCCCTGAGGCCTTTAAGACAGAGATTTCAGTGATAAGTGGATCGTGGCCCTCTCCTCGGGGCCCTCCAGGCTCTCTGGTCTCAGGCCAGTAAGTGAGCTGGGGGCCTGGCAATAGGCTGAGAGCTGTGTGCTGCAGAGTTCCTGAGACCTCATCACGCCCACTGACCAGACCCAGGCTTCGAAGCAGCAGCCGACCCCTCCTGCATCCCACCTCCGTGACCTAGTAGTGACGGCAACAGTATCCATGGGTTGCAGTCCCCCATTTTGGGTGGCCTGATGAGCCTGAGGGCCAGCAGGGCCCTGGGTTCCTGGCTCCCTCAATGATGACAGCTGATCGGGGTCTAGAGACCTGGTTCTGAGGGCATCACTAGCTGAGAATCTGCTTCCTCAGCCAGACCTGGACACTGGTGGGAGGATCCAGACTGGGTGCTAGATGAATAACCTGGGCAGGGTAACAAGCCCAGGCACAGACACCCTCCTCTTAGCCAGGGCTTGGACCTCAGAGGATGAAAAGCAAGTCTTGAGACCTTTAACAAGTAAAATGAGGGGTAATGATGTCGCTTTGCTTATGGGATTCATTAAGTGTTACAAGTGAGAAGGAGGCAAGGAGGCAGAATTAAATGCCTCCCCTTCCCTTTCTTGTCAGAATGGAGAATGACATTTATTTTGGTGAGGCTTATAGTCACATTGTGACCTAACTGTGACCTGACCTTAGGAACAAAAGATCAGACACCAAGAAGTTTGCAACAACTAACCACACTTCTGCCTCACCTTTTCTATCAAAGGGTTTTTGCTGAAAGCTTTCGAGGAGTTTGAGTTTTTAAAGGCATGAGTCACCTGTCTCCTTGCAATAAACATTTCTTTGCTCTAAACTCTGGCATTTCGGTATTGTTTGGTTTTACTGTGTGTAAGGCAGGGAGACTTGTTTAGATAACAAAACCATTCACTCAAGTAAACTTTAGAAGTAGAACATGTCTTCCTTCTCCCCCAAACCCTCTAATCTTTTATTATAATAACTGCAAATATTTTGAGGGATTTGAATCTGAGGTCTGGACTCCCATCAGTGAAGAAGGCAATGTCTTCATTTATTTGGGCTGTTTTTAGTACCTTCCCTATAAATTTCTCTATGAATGTTTTGACCATTTTTGTCAAGTGCCTTCCTGATATATACTATATTTTTGATACTATTGGAATGGCATTTTTAATATGGAGTTTTTAAACTATTGCTATCCTGAAGAAATTTGCTTCTTTACTGCTATACTCACCCATTTCTTTTTTCAGTTTGACCTCCTTTTATTTCACCCCATTTATGTTAAAAAAGAGTCATTTTTGTACAATTTTTCCATATTTTAAATTTGGTTGTTTCATTATAGCCTCATAATAACTTTTTATTCTATCATAAATTTCCTATAAGCTAATGGTTAGAGTGTAAAGCTTGGTGAGATTCAGGTTAACTGTTGTTGTTGTTGATTTTATTCCTTTTGCATCACACCAGGAGACACATGATACTTGATAGTTGTATTTTTACTGATACTGAGATTGGTCAATGGGATAAAGTTTTCCTGTCTGTTCACACAATTAAATTTCTCTCAACAATGTTTTAATTCATGGTTAAATCCCCCAATAACATTCCAGCTAATGGCTTAAGTGTCTCCTGATAAGTATTTATTTCATTAAGGGTTTCAAAATGGTGACTTCTTTTTAAAAAAATTTTATTGGAGTATAGTTGATTTAAAATGTTGTTAGTTTCAGATGCACAACAAAGTGCATTGGCTATACATGTATATATATCCACTCTTTTTTTAGATTCTTTTCCCGTATAGAGTATTATAGAGTATTCAGTAGAGTTCCTTGCACTGTACAGCAGGTAAAATGGTGATTTATAATTTTATTATTCATTTTGTATTTACTAGTTGAGATTCTTTTTTCCCCCAGTTTTATTGAGATGTAATTAACGTATACATTATAAACGCTTAAAATATGCAGCATTGTAGTTTGACTTACATATATTGTGAAATGCTTACTATAGTAAGGTTAGTTAACATACATCATCTCATCCAGATACAAAAAATAGAAAAAGAAAGAATATTTTTTCCTATGAAAAGAATTCTTAGGATCTATTGTCTTAACAAATTTCAAATATACCATATAGTAGTGTTAACTGTGGTTATCATGTTATAAATTACATCCCAAGTACTATTTTATCTTATAACTGAAAGTTTGCACCTTTTAAACAACTTCTTTCAATTCCTCCCCTACCAACTCCTCACTTACAGTAACCACAAATATAATCTTTTTATGAGGTTTTATTTTTTTTAGGATCCCACACACAAGTGAGATCACACAATATTTATCTTTTTGTTTTTTTAATTTCACTTAGCAAAATGCTATCAAGTTTTATTATGGCTTTGTAGTATAGTCCGAAGTCAGAGAACATGACCCTTTTAGCTCTATTCTTTCTCAAGGTTGTTTTGGCTAGTTGGGATCTTTTATGTTTCCAAGAGTTTTTAAATTACTTTTTCTCATTCTTTGAAAAATGCTATTGGTATTTGATAACTATTGCACTGAGTCTGTAGATTTCCTTGGGCAGTATGGTAATTTTCATAGGATTAATTCCTCCAGTGGGCTTCCGAGATGGTGCTAGTATAAAGAACCTGCTTGACAATGCAAGAGATGTGAGAGATGCCAGTTCGATCCCTGGGTCTGGAAGATTCTCTGGAGGAGGGCATGGCAACTCACTCCAGTATTCTTGCCTAGAGAATCCAGCGGACAGAGGAGCCTGCCAGGCTACCTAGGGTCCATAGGGTTGCAAAGAGTTGGATATGACTGAAGCGACTTAGCATACATGCATGCAATTCCTCCAATTCATGAATGCAATGCATCTTTCTATCTATTTGTATTACTTTCAGCTTCTTTCCATCAGTGTCTTATACTTTTCTGAGTACAGGTCTTTCACCTCTATAAGCAGGTGTATTTCTAGGTATTTTATTCTTTTTTATGCAATTATAATGGTATTATTTCCTTAATTTCTTTTGTAGTTTGCTGTTAGTATGTAGAAATGCAACATTCTGTATTTTTATATCCTGCAATTTTACTGACTTCATTGATGATGGACTCTAGTAGTGCTTGGTGGCATCTTTAGGATCTCTATGTACAATATAGAATCATCTGCCAACAGTGACAGTTTTTCTTCCTTTCCAACTTGAATTCCTTTTATTTCTTTTTCTTATCTGACTGGTGTGGCTAGGATTTCCAATAATATGGTGAATAAAATTGGTTAGAATGGGCATCTTGGTCCTGCTGCTGATCTTAGAGGAAACGCTTTCAGCTTTTCACCATGGAGTATGATGTTAGTTGTGGGATTATTAGACAGTTCACAGATCTCCATTTCTTTAGGGTCAGTTATCAGAGCTTTATTCATTTCCTTGTGTCATGTCATGTTTTCCTGATCTCTGTGATCCCTGATTTGCTCTATGGATATGTGCACATTTGAGTAAGATATCTCCTCTTTCCTGCTCAGACTCTGGTTCAGGCTGGTGCTTTAGTCTCATGTTGTGTTCTGGGATTTTCACAATAGACTCTTGCCTATGAATAGTCCTGAAGCACATTAGTGTCAAAGGAAAACTTGGTTAGGTATTCAAAGTCTATAGGGAAATGAATCTGAAAGATTGTGAGGTCTGGCTCTACCAGCAGAGGAGTAGATTTGAAAGACTGGGAAGGTAGGAATCAAGGGTTTCCTTTATGAGAAATATTAAGGGTATAGGAAGGGAACTAGCATTTCTGCAGGAGTTAGTAGGTTCCAAGACATTTTCTGAAGGCATATTTGGGAGGCTATGTGGGTGATGGACCTGGAATGTGAACACATGTATGGTCAGCAGCCTCCTTAGAGAATGATCATGTGTGTCAATCCCATACCCTGTTGTCCAGAGCTAAAAAGGCCAGTCAGGTAGTCCTCTATCTCTGTCTCTCCTGACATCACAAGATGCTTATTACATCTCTGAATTCATCATCCTTTTGTCTCTCAGGGCACAAAGGGATGACATTGACTACTGAGCACCTGAATCTTTACCAGGGACTTGGCCCTGTGCTGACTACATTGCAGCAGTTATTGTCATCCTCAAGGCATCCTGTAGAGGAGATACCATTATCTCCATCTTTTCAATGAAGGATTCAAAGCACAGGGAAATTATGTAACTTGGCCAAAAGATTAAGTAGCAGCCAGTGAGTGGTGGAGGCAGGATTGTATTCATACTTTGAAGATATTTTGGGCTATTTTCAAAGAGCAGAATTTGACTAAAACTGCATACATTCTAGCCCTTAGTAACAGATGAAGAACTGACTGTGGGGAATTGGACTGATCATGTCTACATTCACAGGATACCAGGGTGCTTTGTCCTGGCAGGACCAATATAGATAGATACTTCTCATACAGTGGAGAAGTATGAGAAGTTGCTCACCAAATAAACTGTCTTGCTGATCAGCAACAAATTCCAACTCCTTTTGACTGTAAACCAAAACACAATATATATGTCCACTACAGTACACAAAGGGCTCTTAACAATGCTGGGTTTTGGTGCTTAGATGTTGGGTTATGGAGGTGGGAGTGACATACTACTTCTGCAAAGCTTCCGGGCAGTGGGAGGGATTAGCGGTAGCATCCTGGAGGGTGGCTGAGGGCATATGGGTGGGGGATATTGATGATCTGAGGAGTTGATATTGAGGGGGAAGCACTCCTGGCTGGGTTGAAGGCAGATGTTTGATCCGCAGAGCATTTGTGCACAGTGGGGATTCACTAAGGTGAAGTTGATGCAGCTTCCCTGTAGAGAAAAGAGGAGAGGAGAGGTGAGGTCACTGAGAAGCCACTTGAATTAGATGCAGAAGGCTGTGATTTCCTTGGCTTAAGGGGAGCAGACTCAGGCCCTGTCAGGATCTCCAGGGCAGACTTTCTTCATGCCCTTCCTTTCCCTAGGTGCTAGCCTCCAGTCTGCACTCCTGTTTCTAGACTGTTCAAGAATTGTTGTTCTGACTCTCATCTCCCTTTGCTCTGGTGTTGAGCTTGTCAGCTGCTTTCTGGCCTGGGAGCCTGTGCGGTAAGGACAAGGGCTGATGGCCATTGTAGCCGCAATAAGGTCCAGGTGCTCTTGGTAAGTGTATGCCAAAGGGATGAATCCTCACCACAACCCTCAGGTTGGGCTCTGGGCCCATAGAGCAAGGGCAGGTAGGGGCACCCTCAGATGGGTGATGGGCTGTGGAAACACTTGGGCCCCTAGGTTTGGGTAAACATTGATACAGATCTTTTGGGCCAGTGTAAAGCAACTGCTCCTGGCTTTACTGTCATTTCCTCCTTGTCTCCAGCTCCTGCCCAGTGGAAGACTCCCAGCTGAAGAGCCCGGATTGCCAGACAGAGTGCCCTCAGCACTCAACACCAAGAGATGCAGACAGAGAGAGAAATGTCTCCACACTCTATGACACAGCATGATGGAGAGAAAGAAAGACACATTGGTCTTTCCCAGACACCCAGGTCACTTCCAGTGGGAGGGTCCTCTGGGATCACAGGGTCTCCCCTTACCCTCAAAATCTCACTGGCAACCAAAGCAGCCAGAACTTAGGAGTACACTTTGAGCCACACCTCCTGAGTGTAGACCTTTCATGGTGTGATCCATGCTATGTACACTCACATCTTCATGCCTTTGTATCCCTCAGTTCATTATATGCAGCAAAGGATGCAAGGTGCCCATTAAAATAGTCCCTGCTCTCAAGTAAGCTTCTAGTCCAGTGGTTTGGTATGGTTGCTTGAACAATGGCCCTGAATATATCCAGGTTCTCATCCTTTGCACCAATGGTTGTTGTAGGTTATATTGCAAAAGGGCTTTTGCAGGTGTGGTTAAGATTCTTGAGGTGGGGAAACAATCCTTGGTTATCTGGCAGGGGGGCCCTATATGTGATCAAAGGGTTCCATGACAGAGAAGCAGAGGGAGATGTGCCCTAGAAAACAAGGCAATGTGACTATGGAAGCAGAGAGAGGTTTATGTGCTGCCCTACTGTCTTGTAGAGGGAGGAGGGCTGGGAACCAAGGATCATAGCTCCAGAAGCTGAAGAGTCAGGAAAAAGATTCTCTACTGGAACCTCAGGAAGTTGTGTATTCTCAAAGGGCCCACTACTAGAAAAATTCCTTTGGAGATTAGCAGGTGGTAGAGTAGAGAGACACTCATTTCACAGAAGGTAACAGTAAATGACTGATGCCATAGTGCATGGAAGGTCATGAAGATACTCCTGGGTACTGTGTCCACATGGGCTGGCTGTGTGTCTCTTGCTGTACATTCAGGGGTGAGATTGGGAGCTGATTCTGGCCTGCAGAGACTGTAGGTCCCAGCTGACACCCCGTCACTTAGACTATGATTTACTTTAAGGCCTGGGACCAGGACACAGAAGGCTTCAAGAAAGGAATCAGGACTCCTGCACCCACTGGAATACTGGAAGTATCCACAGGTGTCCCAGGGCTCCAGGACTATAGTTGGGAGGGATAAGGTCAGATGGAAGGGGGCAGAGGAATGGGAGGGCTCACACCCACCAGGCACAGTCACCAGCTCCCAGCCCCTCTCAGGATGAGCAGGGTTGATTTCAGCTCTGGCTGCTGCCACTTACTCTCTGGGTGACCTTGGCAACTTCCCTGATCTCTCAGGCCTCTGTTTTGCCTCCAGGAAGCACACAGATCACTGTGAATCCAGAGAGATTAATGGGCAGATTTGAGAGCTGGTGTTGCAGGGGCCTAACAGAGCCCTGGGTGGATATGAGCTCCCTAATCCATCAGTCTGCCATCCCAACATGAGCTTCAGAGAGCAGCCCTGGGACTCGGGCCATTTCAGAGACCTGCTCTCTGGGCAGGAAGGCTACTTCTGGTGTTTTCCCATCTGGTGTCTTGTCTCTGTCTTGCTCTGTCCTTCTTGCTCCTGACTCTGCATGTCTGGGTGGTTGTCTCTACTGTTCAAGGCATAATGCTGGCCTGGGGCTCTTGTGACCATAATGAGGCTGTGGTTCTGGGGAGAGGTTCCAGGAGAATCAGGTAGAGAATGGGGCTTCCAGGCAAGCAAACCTGGGACCGAGAGCAATAGGAACTCTGGCACCTCTGTCCCCAGATGATGTCTTTGCTGGGTGTGAGCAATGACTCAGATGTGTCAATAGCAGTGTCCAGAGGCTTTCTGGCCTGTAAACAGTTTCCAAACGCCCAAGTGCTCAGTCACCAAGAGCCAGTGTTTGATTCAGGAAAGGTGACCAATGCAGCCCTCATTAAAGACTTGAGGTCTGCAATGTCCTCCAGGCCCCTGGTCTGGTCTGTAGAAATGCTCTGAGTTTGGAATGGCCAGGCAAATGATTTCCAGGCAAACCATTGCCCTCCTCGGGCCCCAGGGAGCCGAGTAGGGCAACCTCTGGCGGTTTGTGGGTAAGCACCGTGAGATCATGATGCTGAACCCAAATGGGGGACAGAGCAGTGAGAAGGGTAGAGCCAGGCTCAGAATTCAAGTCTAACTATGCTCCTCCCAGCCTTTGTGACCTTAGTCAAGTCACTCAGCCTCCCTGTGGGATAATAGTAGTATCTACCTGTACAGTTATTGGGAGGATTAAAGCAATGAAAACATGTAAAGTTTTTAGTTGAGCAACTGACCCACAGAAAGAGCACAGTGGAATTATCCAGCATCATTATTACATTCCAAGGATGACAACTGGAAAAATTTGGCTTCTCCCCATTGTCACAGGCAATGACACAGGAGGTCGTCTTTGCTACCTGCTAAATGCAGTGAGTGTTGGCCAGACAACATTGGGGAGGGGGTGTCACCATGTCCCATTTTGCTGGCACTTGAGTGACCAGTTCAGGAAGATCTTATGGGTGGGGTGCAGCTAACAGTCCCATAGGTGTGGGTGGGTAGTGGGGAGGGGGTGGATGGGAGGCAAATAGGCCTCTCCAGACCTTTTCACTCAGGATTGGGAGTTCTGGGCATTGCTCTGGAGAAGAAAGGAGCTGACATCCTTGATGAAGATGAAGGGGAAATGCCTGGGTGCCATATGAAGAATCATCTGGAGGCTCATGACCTCCAGGTCTCCACTTGTGGGGTGTTCCTTTTGGCAGATGGTGGAACAGGGTTCTCTGACTCACAGTCCCAGGGGGCAACTGTCAAGGGCAAAACCAAGATCCCAGCCCACAGAGAGCATCCTTGTGTCCTGCTTACCATGTCCCTGGTTGTACACTGCATCAATGGCACCAGGCTGCAGCGCTGAAGAAAGTTATAAAAAACATCCAGCTTTCCCTGAAAAGCAGATGTGGTTGTAAGGAAGCTACAGGCACAGACGCTGCCTCCAGATGAGCAGCATTGCCTCCATCTCCCACAAGTCCCCAGGGCTGTGTCCCCACACACTGGCTGAGGCAGCCCTGCAGGCTTCACCTGGGGCAGGGGGCTGGAAAACATTCTGTGTTTGTTGGGAGATGGTCTTTATGGGTCACAGACTGTATTGGATTCTGGAACAAACCAGTGCTTTTGGTGTAGGAGGAGATGTTGGGGCTGCTTTTGAAAACAAACAAGCAAACAAACGTCTAAGGTTGGAGGAGGTATGCAGTAGCCAAGGAGAGGTCCTCAAGGAGAAACATGGTGGGCACGGGGACCGGGCAGGAGATTGAAGGAGGCGGAAGAGGGCCTCCACTTGGGGGCACAAAGGGAGAAGGCAGGGAAGAGACCCACTCCCTGCTCAGGGGGAAGCGTCCTGTTACTGGGGAGAAAGAGAAAGATGAGGAAAACAAAGAACAGGCCAGAAAGTAGACCTGGTGGGGGTAGGATGTGGAGCCAGTCCTCTGAGTGGGAATAAGTCCCTGGCAGGTGACTTCCTCCCTCTTGGAAGGTGAGCTCTGGCTTTCTTGGGCCCCCATAATGACTGTCAGGGGAGACGTGGGGCTGGCCTTCCTACTGCCATTTGAAGGTCCCAGGAGGAAACAATGGATCCCACAGGGACAGAGGCAGCGCCAGAGTGAGGAGGGCAAAGCTGAACCCAGAGATGGTGGTTCTTTTCTTCCTCACACCTGCCACCTGGGGCCCTCCTTAGTCCCTGTCATCTGTCAGCCTCCTGCCAGCTGGGATCTCAGTCACTGGGAAGAGGGAAGTATCCTCAGGTTCCCTCCTTCATGTGGCCCTTGTCACCCCCTCTCAGGTGCCCCAAGGACAATGCAGTGAACTCTCTTCCTCCCTCACTTAGCAGACAGGAGCTGTGGGTACTTCCGGGCTGTTTAATGGTGGTAAGATCTGGGCTCAGAAATATTTGTTATGGACCTATATGAGGTTCTTGTAATTTAGTTTATTTTCATTCTTCCAATCACTGGTCAGTAAGGCACAGGCAATTGCTAAAGTTGATGATAACCTTTGTGAGACCTAGGGATTGTTTGGTTGTGAGCCAGCTATCAACATCCAGAATACTGGCCCAGTATTCTGAGCCTCCTCCTCAGGGGGAGGACTCCGGTCCAAAATATGGTGCCCATAAACTCATCTCCACCCATCCAGGATTCTGAAGTCCAGGCCTCTGCTATAGGAACTGAGGGCTCCCCCTTCCTCCCACTCCCCAGTTTGGAGGGCATTATCCTTCATTTTCTAAGGGTACTTCTCACCTCCATCTGTCTCATCCTGTCTTCTTGGCATTCACAGCAAGGGATAATCACTGTGGTATATCCCTGCTCGGGGCATGGCTTCTAGAAAGAGAAAATAATTGAGTCCTTGTCTGGCAGCTCCTGGGTGCAGACACAGGTTTTCTGTTTCCTTGGGCACTGTCAAGTACTGGCTACTCAGCAAATGTTTGCTGGAGAATCAGGCACAAATGACCAGTACCTGGCACAGTAAGAGAGTGGCCTCCATGTGATAACACACCAACTCCTTTTGGTTTAAAGATATCTCAAAGTATCAACAAACTCTATCCTGTCCCCTTGGTTCCTGGAGGCTTCCCTTGTAGGAGAAGCTGGGTGTGAGGCTACAGCATGTGATGGAGGCTGTCAGGGATGCAGCATTAGCAGGTTACAGAGTTGCATTCATCCATCCCTGGCAGATTCAGCCTCCCCAGGTCCCACTGCAGCCAGTGCTATGCCAGCCCTGCCAGGGACCCTGTTTGCCACTAGACATCAGACCCAGGCCCCTCTACCCTGGGACATGAGTCCCTGCTCTAACTACTATTTATGGGGCCGGTTTGGGTCCCCATTTGGTCTGCCACATCCTCCCCACCTGATCCTTGGTCTCTGTGCTCACCTTGGCTGCCCTTCCCTCACAGCTTGATGCCAGGCAAGACTCCCTCCACCCTCCTCACCCCCCTAGCCCCCAAATGCCAGGCCCACCAAGACCCTAACCCTGACATGAGCCAGGGATAAAGAACATGGAAATGGAGCCCAAAATACATCAGAGCTCAGGGAGGGGGTCCAGGTCTCTGAAACTTGAGGATCCTTTTCCAAAAGGTCACCTGAGTCTTGGGAAGGACCATCCTACAAACAGTTCTTCAGGAATGACAAAAAGCCCATTGATTCCAGGAAAGATCACAGGTATTCCTGAAATAAGCTCCCCCACGTGCTGATTTACTACTAAAGGCCCTGGATCAGGCCATGTTGGGTGTTGGGTAACGGCATTGTCTGGATGACATTTTGTGAGTCTCACATCCTCTCTGGGGGTCCCTCCCTTCCCTCTGTCACCCTATTCTTCTGCTTGTTCTCTCTGGCCAGGTAGGTAGGAGTTGGAAGTGGGGAGGACATATCCCCATACACATCAGGGGGCCTCTCTATGGAGAGCAGCGTGTGCATCAGGTGTGTTGACAACATTAGGACCAAACACACCACTTACCTTTTCTGGTTTCTGGGCTGGTGATGGCTTCTTGATGATCTAGGATGTTAAAGACACAAACACAGCTGGAAGGGGCATGGAGAGCTCTAGCTCAGCCTTTCAGACAGGAGGGAACCCAGCTCAGAAACACTAGGGGGACAAACATCTGCACTGGGGTGTCACCCTAGATGCCCAAGGCCTGAGCATCTGTGGGTAACAGGTTCCGCCTCCTTGAGCCTCAGCCTCTTCAGTTTTCAAAGGGTAATCAATAGCTCTGTGTAGGGTCAACAGGGAGACAGACTAAAGCTCCTGTTCCCTGGTAGAGGCCCCACCTGGGAGTTTTCAACAGCAAACGACATCATATGAAGACAAGAGAACATTCCCCACACTCCCACTTCCCTCTCCTTCTCTCCCACCCCAGGGTCAGTCTTTATCCTTTATCATTATCAGGGTATCTGCCACATGCTCTGAAGGTGATGTTTATTCTCAGTGCCCTCCAGGTACCAATAACAGACTATACACCAGCCAGTGAGCTTCTATGGGCAATGACAACAGCTGTTTCATTTCTGGGCCTCTGTGCCCAGCATGGGATCCTGAGCATCCTGGTAACTTAGTGATGACTGATGAAGGTGTGACTAAGGTACCAGAGATGGGCAGGGATCCATGCTGTTTTCAAAGGCACAACCACTCCCAAGGTTAGCATCCTTCAGGCCAGCATCCTTCTCCCTTTGGGCCATAAGTGCCCCTGGAGAATCCTCTTCTTCCCCCAATAGCAGAGACTCCTTAGGCTTTTGTTCATTTGAGTTCTTCAGAATCCTGACCTCTGTGGGGGCAGTTGTGGTCTCAGGACATCTGGGATACCTTTTCCCCAGGAGCCAAGACAGCTCATAGACTACCTTTCTATGAAGGTAAAAGCATGACACAGACTGTTTTTTGCTGGTGCGAGGGCTCCAGAGCTGATAGGAACCTGTCCACAGGATCATGAGGCAGGCACCTGTCCAAGGGGGAGGTTGGTAAGGGCTGGGCACAGGCTGTTCAGGCAGGGATCACTCACCCACTTGTGACAGCAGATGCAGACAAGCAGTGACAGGAACAGGGACAGGAACAAGGCTGAGATGAGCACAGGGACCCAGAGAGGATTACTGTAAAGCAGGTTACGGCTGACAACCTTGGGCATTAAGCTAATCTTCCCTGGGACAGTCCCACGTATTATTATCTCCCCTTCTGGGAAAAACTCTGGTATGGTGGTCTCCTCCTCTGGCACAACCATGGGTGCTGTGGTCTCCTCTGTGACAGTGGTGGGCACTGTGGTCTCCTCTTCTGGGGAAATGTTAGACATGGTGGTCTCCTCCTCTGGCACAACCGCGGGTGCTGTGGTCTCCTCTGTGATAGTGGTGGGCACCATGGTCTCCTCTTCTGGGGAAATGTTAGACAAGGTGGTCTCCTCCTCTGGCACAACCGTGGGTTCTGTGGTCTCCTCTGTGACAATGGTAGGCACCATGGTCTCCTCTTTTGGGGAAATGTTAGGCATGGTGGTCTCCTCCTCTGGCACAACCGCGGGTGCTGTGGTCTCCTCTGTGACAGTGGTGGGCACCATGGTCTCCTCTTCTGGGGAAATGTTAGACAAGGTGGTCTCCTCCTCTGGCACAACCGTGGGTTCTGTGGTCTCCTCTTCTGGGGCAATGTTTGACAAGGTGGTCTCCTCCTCTGGCACAACCGTGGGCTCTGTGGTCTCCTCTTCTGGGACAATGTTAGACAAGGTGGTCTCCTCCTCTGGCACAACTGTGGGCTCTGTGGTCTCCTCTTCTGGGGCAATGTTAGACAAGGTGGTCTCCTCCTCTGGCACAACCGTGGGTTCTGTGGTCTCCTCTGCGACAGCGGTGGGCACTGTGGTCTCCGTCTTTGGGAACGCCTCGGGAAATATGATCTCCTCTTCTGGGAACACCTCAGGATATGTGGCCTCCTCTTCTGGGATCACCTCAGGAAATGTGGTCTCATCTTCTGGAGACACCTCTGGAAATGTGGCCTCATTTTCTCGGAACACCTGAGGAAATGTGGTCTCATTTCCTGGGAACCTCCGAGGAAATGTGGTCTCCTCTTCTGGGAACCCCTCAGGAAATGTGGTCTCATCTTCTGGAACCACCTGAGGAAATGTATTCTCCTCTTCCGGGACCACCTGAGGAAATGTGGTCTCATCTTCTGGGACCACCTGAGGAAATGTGGTCTCATCTTCTGGGACCACCTGAGGAAATGTCTCCTCTTCTGGGACCACCTGAGGAAACGTGGTCTCATCTTCTGGGACCACCTGAGGAAACGTGGTCTCATCTTCTGGGACCACCTGAGGAAATGTGGTCTCATCTTCTGGGACCACCTGAGGAAATGTCTCCTCTTCTGGGACCACCTGAGGAAACGTGGTCTCATCTTCTGGGACCACCTGAGGAAATGTCTCCTCTTCTGGGACCACCTGAGGAAATGTGGTCTCCTCTTCTGGGGCTACTTCAGGAAATGCAGTCTCATCTTCTGGGGCTACTTCAGGAAATGCAGTCTCATCTTCTGGGACCACCTCAGGAACTGTTGTCTCTTCCTCTGGGACAAAAGTACTCGCTGTGGTCATCCTTGTGATAGTGGTAGGTACTGTGCTTGTCATTGTGGCAACAGTAGGTACTGTGGTTGTCAAGACAACAGTAGGCACTATGGTCCTTATCATGATAACTGTAGGCAGTGTGATCACTGTTGATACTACAGTGGGTTCTGAAGGCTTAACCTATGGAAGGCACACACACCAGGATTCTGAGGTTGGCCTGGGTGATCTCTTCCGGGGCACCCACCAACCTTTTCCCACATTGGGTTTCCTGGTCTACCCAGGACCACCTGTACTCAGGTTGCTTCATCTACAGGGACCACAATGGCACTAGTCTCTCTCCCCTACTTCCCAGCTCCCTGACCTTGGGCAGAGCTACTCTCTCCCTCTCTGAATCTCCATCTCCATGTCTGTGGTGAGGAAGTTAGTGGTATTTGATGCATTAGAAAGAGGCTATAGAAAGTTCCAGCACAGGCCAGGTCCACATGGGACCTTAAAGAATGGGCTCTGTCCTCTTGTTGTTCACAGCCAAGGGTGAGTGAGCTGCATCCATGGACCTGAACTGCCCAGCCCTTCTCTCCGTCAGTGGCTTTGCTGGAGAGAAGCAGAAGGGAAGGGGAAAGAGTGAGCCTGTGCTCAGGAAATGGCAGTCTCTGGGTGACCCTGTGCTAGGCCCAGCGCCAGAGGTGGCTCCTGAGTTCTCTTTTCAATGTGCCTGTGGATGGGTGGTCCTCAGGTGGCAAGACTCCTGGTTGGGAAATGTAGAGGTTCGGTCTCAGGTTCCCAGGAAGAGGGACAGGGAGCAGAGGACACAGACACATATGGGGACTGTCACACTGTGAGAACCCTCACCAGCTGGCACTAGATACAGGGGCAGTGGGATTAAGCACAGAATCCCTCTTCTCAAAGAAACCTCACTCCAAAGTGACAGGCTCTGTTGTTGCCTATACCGGGCTGCTCCAGGCTAAGCAGCCTGGATGCCGTAGAGCTGGGAAAAGCAGCCCCTGGGAGCAGCCTTTGTTCTCAGTTTCCTCTCCCTGAGCTGCGGCCCACCCTCCCCGCAGCCTTGCCAGCTTCCCAGGAACAGAGGGCAGGTCCTCCTGCAGAGGTCAGAGCCAGTTTGCAGAGAGGGGCAGTGGAGGAGCATGAGAGTGGAGGAGAGGCAGAAGGGAGGCTGATGACCTCTGTAAAGTGACTGCCAGTGTTCCCCAAACAGACTTGGGAGGCCGGGGCTGTGATGGTCATGAGTGGATTCAGGGCCCTGCCTGCTGCTGCACCAATGCGGTGAAGACACACCCTGGCTAATCACGACCATAGCTCTTCCCACCCTCTAGATCCCTAGGCCTGGGACCCCAATTTGGAGAGTCCAAGGTTCTCAGAAGACCTGGAATCTGTCTCCTAGTACACAGTGTCTCAGCCTCTTACACTCAACCTGGATGGAATCCAGGCTGGAGCCTTTAGCTCCCCACCACAAGGCCTGGCCAGGGGAGGTGGCATGGTGGGTCCAGGGTGGGCAGAACACCAACACCATTTGTGGAGTTGCTTAGAGCTTGAATTGGTCGCTTTGAAGTGCCTTCAGTGACATGTGGTTCACAGAGGGTAGAGTTTCTGCAAGGCCTGGATAGATGCCTTAAACTTAGGTGTTCTTGTAGAAGAATTTGCTGAGATTTTTACAAGCCTGATGAAGGGTTAAGGGCACCTATCTGGCAGTGGGATGCTGCCTGAGACATCAGTCTCATAAACTTCTCGCTTGGCATTTCCCAAGGAATTTTGCTCCACTTACCTTCTCTTCCCAGGTTTTATGTTCCTCCACTTTTCCCCCCTTCCACTGAGGTTCTTGCAGCCCCACCCTGTTCTTCTCACAATCCTTGCCAGCAATTTTCAAGTCTTCATCTACAAAGTTGACACCATTGTTCAGGCTGTAATCAATGAAAACCTCCCTAAAGCACAGAAAGGCAGAGGGTAACCAACAGATCAAAGAGACACAGCCCTTGGCTCAGTCCATAGCTCTCTCATGGTAATAACTTCGACTATCAGCCATTTGGGGCTATCAGAGAGCAGTCATCAGGGGTAAGGGGAGTTTATCCCCAAGCACCATGAGATTGACCTCTGCAATGAAGGTTATCAGACAGTGAGGCGTCCTGAGTGGAGTCAGATGTCCTCTTGGCCATGAGCTAAGTGACCAGGAACAGCTGTATTGTGTCACCATCCTGACTCCTCTGTATGTACAGAGTATGTTGGAGTCCCTTGAAAAAGCTGTCTGGAGCAAAGTTACCATCCCTGGTTGCACAACTTCACCTGAATCCTTCCCTATGCAGAGCCTCGGCCACAGCGGGTCCCTGAGCTCCTTGAAGGACCATCAACCAGGTTAGGTGAGGATGATCCCCTGAGCTCTCCTGAGACAGATATGTGTTGCCCAGCAGAGGTGACTTCCTATATTCTTGGCCCAATCAACCCCTCAACCCTAAATACTTACTGTCCAGCCTTGTCAAACATATGTCCTGGGCAAATTAATTTTTCTTTATTGATAGAGATGGGTCTTTTTCCTAAAAAAAAAAAAAAACCCACAAAAATGTCATTGGACATGTCCATTCACTTGTCTTTCCTATTCTGTTTGCCCTTGGAAGCAGAGTTAACACTTGGGCAGAAGCAACTTTTCTTCTGACATGTACCATGTACCAAGCACTGAGCTCTGGTGTTTTGTTTTTTTAAACTTTATTTAAATACAGTTGATATACAATATTACTCAAGTTCCAAGTGTACAATATGGTGATTCACAAAATTTAAAGGTTGTACTCCATTTATAGTTGTTATATTAATAAAAGGCACTGATATTTAAAGGGAACAAAGTAGGCAGAGGCCCTGCTCTCAAGGGCCTGACATTTATGGGACTAGAGATGGAGACAGACAATAAAGCAACAAGCAATGAACAAAAACTGTCAGAGTGAAAAGTGCTGTGATGTCAATAAACGAGGGAAGGAATAGGGAAGGAGAGGAAGGCACAGCTGCTTTCGGAGTAGGTGACCTGTCCTGTCTTTTAGAGACACAGTTTCTCTTTAAGAGAGAGTGGCATATTTACACAGGGCATGAAGGGATGTCTTGGATTTGCTTCACAATAATGAATTGTGAGAGTATCAGCAAAACCAGATTGGCCAAGGGTGATAATTACTGAAAGTAGGTAAGGCTCCCCCAGGGGCTCTATGCAACTTTTGCTACTTTTGTATGTTACTGAAGGTTCTCATTAAAGATGAGGTGTATCTGAGGTGGGACTCCTGGAGTGGAACCAGGTGAGGGGAAAGCCGGGGAACAATCTGGGGAAGAGGGTCCAGGCTGTAGGTGCCTGAGGTGAGGCCCGAGGTAACTAGCTTAGCTTGCTGATGGAAAGAGAATGGGGCCTCGTGGGCCCCGGGAAGGGATGCGGGCTTTCTTTTAAGCACAGCGAGTGTGTCAAGGGGCTGGCCAGGTCCGGGTGAGTTTGGACACAGAAGAAGCAGGACCTGCCGTTGGCCCGGATGTGGGATGAGAACAGAGGAGTCAAGGACGACGTGCGGGTTAGTGAGCGGGACACCTGGGTGGGGGTGGTGCCATCTGTGGACACAGGGGAGCCTGAGGGGGAGCAGGGCCTCGTGTCTGTGCTTGCTCTATGATTCTGTGGGACCTGCACGGTGGCCCTTGGGAGCCTCAGACGTGTGTCATGAGTAGCTGTGGAACCTTCTCTCTCCTGAGCCCTTAACTCTTCTCATACCCTGACTGTGCTCACGGGTCAGACCTTTTGCCTCAGATGGTTTCCTTCCCAGTGACCAGCTTTTGGCTGTAACTCAGTTCTCAGATTAGCTATGAAGTTCTGCCCTGTGTTTCCCTTCATTTGTGCTGATATTGAAACTTACCACCAAGTATATTTAGGGGGATAGATTTGTGTCTGAGGAACAGGATGGTTGGATTAGAGTAAAAAAAACTTCCCAAGGTAATGTGGTGTGATCTCCGTAGTGTTCATAGAGTAGGGAGAGTGAAGTGATGGCAGGCACCTTGCATAGTGAGGACGGAGAAAAGCATGGTTGGTTGCTGAAGTTTTCTTTTCCTTTTAATTGTAGTTTTTTTTTTTTTTTTTTTTCTTTACAATATTATACTAGTTTCAGAGGATGAGATGTTTGGATGGCATCACTGACTCAAAGGATATGGGTTTGACCAAACTCTGGGAGATGGTGAAGGACAGGGAAGCCTGGCGTGCTGCAGTCCATGGGGTTGCAAAGAGTAGGATATGACTAAGTGACTGAACAACAACAATAATAATCTCAGGGGTATTGCCTAGTGATTAAAATTTTTAATAGATTATGCTGCATTTAAAAGTATTATAAAATATTGGCTACATTTCTTATGCTTACAATATATCCTGTAGCTTATTTATTTTATACACAACAGTTTGTACCTCTTAATCTCCTACACCTGGATCTTGCCTCTCCTCATTTCCTCCTTCCCTCTGACTACCACTAGTTTGTTCTCTTTATCTGTGAGTCTGTTTCTGTTTTGTTATATTCAACCATTTCTTTCAATTTTAGATGCCATGTGTAAGTGATAATGCACAGTATTTACCTTTCTCTGTCTGACTTCAGTTAGCATAATATCCTCTAGATCCATCCATGTTACTTCAAATTGTAGAATTTCATTATTTTTCATGGCTGAGTAATATTCCCTCGTGTATGTGGATATATAGCACATCTTCTTTATCTATTCATCTGTTGAGGGAGACTTAGGTTGCTTCCATATCTTGTCTATTATAAATAATGCTGCTGTGAACATTAGGGTATATGTATCTTTTCAAATTACTGTTTTTATTTTTTTTCAGATAATATATCCCATAGAGGAATTGCTGGATTATATGGTAATTCTATTTTTACTTTAATGAGGAATCTCTACATTGCTTTCCCTAGTGACTGCACCAATTCACGATTCCATCAACAGTACACTAGGCTTCACTTTTCTCCACATCCTGGCCAACATGTGCTTATAGTTATTTTGACATGTGTGAGGTGACATCTCATGGTGGTTTTGACTTACATAGTTAGTGATGTTGGTAATCTGTTTATGTACCTATTGGTTATCTGTATATCTTACATGGAAAAATGTCTATTTAGGTTTTCTGCCCATTTTTAAACTTTTTTTTTATATTGAAGTGTGTGTTATTTATATATTCTGGATATTGACTCCTTATTAGTCATACAATTTGCAAATACTTTCTCTTTCAGTAGGTTGTCTTTTCATTTTGTCGATACTTTATTTTGCTGTGAAAAAGATTTTAAGTTTAATTTGGTCCCATTTGTGTATTTTTGATTTCTTTTTCATTGCCTTAGGAGACAGGTCCAAAAAGGTATTGCTACAATTTGTGTCAAAGAATATTTTATGTTTTCTTTGAGGAGTTGTATGGTTTCAGGTATTAAACTTACATCTTTAATGCATTTTTAGTTTTTATTTTTTTGGTATATGATGTGAGGAAATGTTCTAATGTCATTGTTTTTTTGTGCAGCTGTCCAATTTTTTCAGCACCACATACTGAAGAGATTGACTTTTCTCATTCATATATTCTTGCCTCATTTGTCATAGATTAAGCAGTGGCCTCAGGACTGGAAGAGGTCAATTTTCATTCCAAAGAAAGGCAATGCCAAAGAATGTTCAAACTACCACACAATTGCACTCATCTCACACATTAGCAAAAAAGTAATGCTGAAAATTCTCCAAGCTAGGCTTCAACAGTATGTGAATTGAGAACTTTCAGATGTTCGAGCTGGATTTAGAAAAGGCAGAGGAACCAGAGATCAAATTGCCAACATCCATAGGATCATAGAAAAAGCAAGAGAATTCCAGAAAAACATCTACTTCTGCTTCATCGATTATGCTAAAGACTTTGACTGTGTGGATCACAACAAACTGTGAGAAATCCTTAAAGAGATGGGAATACCAGACCACCCAACCTGCTTCCTGAGAAATCTGTATGCAAGTCAAGAAGCAACAGTTAAGAGTCAGACATGGAACAACAGATTGGTTCCAAGTTGGGAAAGGAGTATGTCAAGGCTGTATATTGTCACCTTGCTTATTTAACTTATATGCAGAATACATTATGCAAAATGCCGGACTGGATGAAGCACAAGCTGGAATCAAGATTGCAGACAGAAATATCAATAACCTCAGATATGCAGATAACACCACCCTTACACAGAAAGCAAAGAGGAACTAAAGAGCCTCTTGATGAAAGTGAAAGAGGAGAAGTGAAAACTTGGCTTAAAACTTAACATTCAAAAAACTAAGATCATGGCATCCTGGTCCCATCACTTCATGGCAAATAGATGGGGAAACAGTGGAAAGAGTGAGAGACTTTGTTTCTTTGGGCTCCGAAATCACTGCAGATGGTGACTGCAGCCAGGAAATTAAAGGACGCTTGCTCCTTGGAAGAAAAGTTATGACCAACCTAGACAGCATATTAAAAAGCAGAGACATTACTTTATTAACAAAGGTCTGTCTAGACAAAGCTATGGTTTTTCCAGTAGTCATGTACGGATTTGAGAGTTGGACTGTAAAGAAAGCTGAGAGTCAAAGAATTGATGCTTTTGAACTATGGTGTTGGAGAAGACTCTTGAGAGTCCCTTGGACAGCAAGGAGATCAAACCAGTCCATCCTAAAGGAAGTCAATCCTGAATATTCATTGGAAGGACTGATGCTGAAGCTGAAACTCCAGTACTTTGGCCACCTGATGCAAAGAGCTGACTCATTGGAAAAGACCCTGATGCTGGGAAAGATTGAAGGCAGGAGGAGAAGGGGACAACAGAGAATGAGATGGTTGGATGGCATCACCAACTTAATGGATGTGAGTTTGAGCAAACTCTGGGAGTTGGTGATGGACGGGGTAGCCTGGCATGCTGCAGTCCATGGGGTTGCAAAGAATTGGACACAGCTAAGCAACTGAGCTGACCATATGTCCATGTGTTTATTTCTGGGATGTCTATACTGTTCCATGGATCTTTGTGCCAGTTTTTGTGTCATTATCCTGCTGTCTTGATTGCTGCAAGTTGTGGTATTGCCTTTACACAGGAAGCATGGTATTTCTAGCTTTGTTCTTTTTCCTCAAGTTTACATTGGCTATTCTTTTTATTTTATTTTTGTGGTTCCATAGAAATTTTAGTATTACTTATTTCATTTCTGTGAAAAATGTCAGAGATTTTTTCCCCTAGGAATTACATTAAATGTGTAGATTGCCTTGTGTAGCATGGACATTTTAACAATATTAATTCTTCCATTTCAAGAACATGGATTTTCTTTCCATGTATTTGTGTTTTCACTTTCTTTCATCAGTGTCAGGTAGTTTCAAGTATAGGTCTTTGACCTCCTTGGTAAGTTTATACCTAGGTATTTTATTCTTTTCGATGCAGTTATAAATAGGATTGTTTTCTTTAATTCTCTGATAGTTTCTTATTGGGCTTCTCTGATAACTCAGTTGGCAAAGAGTCCGCCTGCAAGGCAGGAGAGCCCCGTTTGATTCCTGGATCGGGAAGATCTG